ATTACATGGATCCTGTCCCAGCTGGGTGTCTGTCTGTCTGTCTGTCCCGCAGGGATTACATGGACCGCCTCCTGGACGAGAGCGAGAGCGCCGCCTCCAGCCGGGCCCCGTCGCCGCCGCCCACGGCCTCCAACAGCAGCACCAGCCAGTCCGAGAGGGACGAGAGCGCCTCCGGCAGCGCCCCCAACGGTGAGAGGGCCCGGCTGCCCCCGGCACGGCCATCCCGGGCTGCTGTGGCCCTGCAGAGCCCATCCCTGCCCTGCCAGGGACTCCTGCCACCATCCCAGGCTGCTGTGGCCCTGCAGAGCCCATCCTGCCCTGCCAGGGACTCCTGCCACCATCCCGGGCTGCTCTGGCCCTGCAGAGCCCATCCCTGCCCTGCCAGGCACTCCTGCCTCCATCCCGGGGTGCTCTGGCCCTGCAGAGCCCATCCCTGCCCTGCCAGGCACTCCTGCCTCCATCCCGGGCTGCTGTGGCCCTGCAGAGCCCATCCCTGCCCTGCCAGGGACACTTCCCACCATCCAGGGCTGCTGTGGCCCTGCAGAGCCCATCCTGCCCTGCCAGGGACACTTCCCACCATCCAGGGCTGCTCTGGCTCTGCAGAGCCCATCCTGCCCTGCCAGGCAGTCCTGCCACCATCCAGGGCTGCTGTGGGCCTGCAGAGCCCAGCCCTGCCCTGCCAGGGACACTTCCCACCATCCAGGGCTGCTGTGGGCCTGCAGAGCCCATCCCTGCCCTGCCAGGCACTCCTGCCTCCATCCCGGGGTGCCCCGAGCCAGCCTCGGGCACTGCAGGCATGGAGCAGCCCCAGCTTCTCTGGCAGTTCCATCCCAGCCCCTCCCCACCCTCCCAGGCTGCTCCTGTTCCTCTCCCCCCATGTCCCATCTGTCCCTGGCCATTCCCTGTGTCCTGTCCCTCCATGCCTTGTCCCAAGTCACTCTCCTGGAGCCCCTTTAGGCCCAGGAAATGGCTCTGAGCTCTCCCAAAGCCTCCTCTTCTCCAGGTGAGCACCCCCAGAGACAAGCAGCCCATTTCAAGTTCAAACTGGTTTTTAAAGACCCCTCCATGTTTGCATTTGGGCAGGGGCCTTGTCTAGAAGATAAATCCCCCCTGGGATTTCCTGTGAACTGGGGTTTGTGAGTTCCTGTGTGCCCTGTGCCTTGCAGAGGTGGAGCTCCAGTGCTGTGGGGAGTCCTGAGCTGGGCCCTGGGGAGCTCCAGGAGCTGTTCTGAGGGCTGGGAAGGGAGCTGGGAATGGGACAGGAGCCAGGGAGGAGAGCTGGGCTGAGGGAGGAGCTGGGGACTCACTCAGAGCCTGGAAATCTCCTGGAAGAGTGCCCAGGTGAGCAGAGCCCACCTGCAGCCCCTGCATCCTGGGATTCCAGGACATCTCTGTTCCTTTGAACCATTTCCATGAACTCCCTGTGTCAATTGTGTGCACATCAGTCACACAGTGAGGACAAGGAGAAAACCACTGGATTTTTAATGAATTTTGAGTTCAAACTCTGCTTTCCTGAGCCAGCCTAGGTGAGGAGAGCCCACCTGGGGCCCTGGGATTCCAGGACATTCTCTGTTCCTTTGAATCACTTCCCTGTGCCTTTTGTACGCACATCAGTCACACAGTGAGGAGAAGGAGAAAACCACTGGATTTTTAATGAATTTTGAGTTCAAACTCTGCTTTCCTGAGGCAGCCCAGGCAGCTGTGTGCTGCTGAGCCTTGCTGAAGGGGTTTCTCTCCCACCCAGGTGTCTCTGCCAACGGCCCAGGGGAGGTGCCAGGGAAGGAGGAGGCGAAGCTGGAGGGGCTGCACGTCAATGGACCCTGCAGTGGGAAGAAAACCCCGCACCCAGAGCTGGACACAAACGGCTTTGAACCCGAAAACCTCCCCAGTGACCCCAAACTGGCTCACCCAGCCTCGAGGAACGAGCCTGAGCTGGAGGAAAAGAGCGAGAGACCTCTGAAAAGAAGAAGAATTAACAGCAATGGGAAGGAGAGCCCGGGTGCTTCAGAGTTCTTCCAGGAAACCAACTCCCACGGGAAGCTGGAGGAGCTGGAAACTTTGGATGACTGAGTGCTGGGAGCTGATTTTATTCCTTGGAGTAAATTCTGGGTGTCTAAAATTTTCAGGGTTGATGGGTTACCTTCCAAAGTCCAGTTCCATAAACAATCTGAGATTTTTTTTGTTTTGTTTCCTGAGACCTTCTAGTCGGCTCTAAAGATCCGATGATTTGGTTTTCTTCAGTGCTGAAAAGCAGCAGGAGAATATTGAATTTCTCAGAGCTGGCAGCTGCAGTTCTGGGATAAAAGGCTCTTAAATATTTAAGGAACAAAGCAGTGAGTTGCTGCAAAAATATTCCCAGTCTAATACATTAAAGAATGTGTTAATACAGCATTTAATGTATTAAACAACATTTAATCAGTGTACAAGTGAACAAAGCATTTGGGGCTTTGCAGGAAGTTAAACTAAAACAGGAAAAGCCAAGACAGAGCAGACACAGAGACTTCTACTCCTGCTGGAGAGAGGAAAATGTCATCCCATCATTAAGGAACCCTCATGAATCCTGAAAGTTATGAGCACAACTATTTTTATATATAGAAGTTTTAAAAGGTAAATAAATAAACCAGGTCAGGTTTGTCTATGTAAAATTGTTGACATCAATGATGTCTTTCCATATTCTTTATCTGGGCTAAAGAAATACATTCTGTATTTTTCCAGATTTCTTTGTAGCCTTTGAAAGATTTTTACAGTACTTATGTCTTGACTGAACTGTCCTTTCTTAAAACAAAAGCTTGTATAATTTTCTTACCTTGTACAGTTGGTAAACTTTTATGAGAGAGTTGATACCCTGAGTCTAATGTCAGCTTCCTTTTATTTTGCTGAAGTCTTTTCTAAAAAAAAAACCAACAAAAAAAAAAACCCCAAACCAAATCAAACCAAATCAAACCAAACCAAACCAAACCAATGGAGTTAAAAATTAATCACCAACGTGTTAATTTTCTTCCCAGAAACTGGTAAATAATTAACATAAGAATGGTTAGGAGGCATTTGATTTTGGAAACGTGTTTTTTTTTCTTGTTTTATGGCAGATAATGGTGTTTCAGTTTTTGTTAAGCATGCTGCTTGCATTGCACACATTTCCTCGCTTTCTTTCTCCCTTTGTTTGGAACTCAGAGAAATCTCCCAGCAGCCAAATTCTGGAGTTTACTGAACCTTCTGCAGGTTCAGCTGCTCCATCATCCCCTGGTTTGCTCCCAGCCTGTGCCCTGCCAGGCTGCAGTGAGGCTGGGCTGCCTGGAAATGCAGCTGGAATTCCTGAGCAGGAGCACCTGATGATCTCAAAGGTCTTTTCCAGCCTAGGAAACCCTGGCATTCTGTGTTGGTGCACAGGGACACGCTCACCTGGACAAGGGAGAGCAGGAATTTCACATTGAGCTGGGGAGAACTCATTCCAGTGTGAGAACCAAAAATTCCTCATGAATAAATGGCAATAGGGTGGTGCTCACCCTGCCAGCAGCACCACTGCAAAGTTGTGGGTGTAGGATTTACATCCAGCAATCAGGAACGTTTGAAATCCCAATTCACTTTGGTTTTGTTTGGTTGTTTTCTTCAGCCCAGCTCCACTTCTGCTCTGTTCAAATCCGGGATAAAATTGTTCAATTGTACCCATGCTGACCCCGTCTCCTCCTCCTCCTCCTCCTCCCCACAGGTGTGCTGTTCATCCTTCACTGGTTATTTTCTCTGCAGGGTTATGCTCTTTATGGTTCCAGTTGAACTGAATGGTTTGAAATGGATGTTTCAACCCAAAGCCCAGTGCTGAGGGCTTGGGCTGATTTGGTTTCTTCTCCACTGAACTTCCCTTGGACTTTGTGATGAGGAATGAGCCAAGCCTCGGGATGAGGATGGGCTGTGGATGCAGAACCTTGGGGAAGGATCAGCTCTGCCTGCCAGCCCTGCTCCTGGAGAGCCTCTGGGTGAGGTTCATTAATTAAGGCCTGTGTTAATTAAGGAATGCAGTGATTAATGCCTGAGGCAGAGGTTGCTGTTAACTCTCCCCTCAAGGACGGTTCCACACAAGCAGAATCCTATTTTCAGTTTTATTTTGATGCTCTTTGTTTTCGGTTGCAAGTTGGAAATACTTCCCAAAAATCCATAGGAAAGTTTCCAAATGAATTGTCTCAGGCTCGTGTGTGAAATCCAGCACTGTGTATATTTTCAGGAATGTTGCTTTGTTTTTTATCTTTCCTTATTTTTTTTTTTGTGATACTTAGAAGAGACCTGACATTCCATAATCCACTATGTAATGCTCAGCTAGACTTTAAGAATATTTAATTCTAATTTACCTTTTGTTTATGCTGGTGTTTTATACAATACTTTGTTCATGTTTCAAACTGCAGCCACTGTAACTCGATAAGTCATTGCACTACTAAAGCTATTGAAAATCCTGGAAATCTGCTAACTTTGCTTTCATTTTCCAAGCCTTCTGTACAGCTGGGAATCCAGTCCAACAGGAAATCCTTGGGCTTCCCAAAGGGTTCAATGTGCTATAAATTCCCCCCCCACGCACACAAACCCCACAGATGAGTTGGATACATTTTTTCCACACAGTATTTTGCACTGTCGGTAATTCCCCTTCCCTGTCTGCAATTCTGGAAAAGCTTATTAAAATATTTTTAAACTTACTGTCTGTATCCAAAATTCCTGACTTTCCTTGCTCCAGAGGGGTGGAATATTCCCTCTCAGAGGATGGGAGAGCAGTGACTGTGTTACTCTGCACTGAAACCCATGGAAACAAAACCCATTTTTCTGCATCAGCTCCCAGCTGTTCCCTTCGTTCCCCATAATGTTTCCCAAATCCCTTCTCAAGGAATATTCAAAGCTGGAATGCCTCCCTCACCCTGCAGGGACTGGGGGCTATGAGGAGCCCCCTAAATCCCTGATTTATCCACCCCAGCATTCCCATCCCCTCCAGCCAGGGAAGAGAGGGGTGAGGCAGCAGCACCTTTGGTTCATTGGTTTATTGGAAGCAAATACAAAAATACAGAGGCACATAAATCCTTTCTGCTCTCATTCCTCACATCCACAGCCTGCCATACATTCAGGTTTTCATCACTAAAATGCTCATTTTGTAAATAGATTCTCTATAGAAAACATTTGTTTTTTAGTCAATTAATAGCATAGAAAATACTGTTAGAGGAATTCTTGGCTTTCCCAGTGTTTAGGATCCAGCAGGATCCCAGCATGGACAAAAAAAGCTTTAAAAATCCTTCTCTGTTAGGACTGCAAATCTAGCCAGTAGATTCAAAAACAAACAGAAAATCATAAAAACCCCTCTGGCAGAATCACCCTGCTGGCTCTGAGCTCAGCACGGCGCAGTCGGAGCACGCGGGGGAGAAAAAAGGGATTTGGGAATTGGGTTTGGGAATTGGGAATGCTGCAGCAAGGGACAGGAGCTGGAGGCAGGAGCCCCAGCAGCACTTGGGCACTGGGAACCAGGACAGGACCAGTACAGAACCAGAACAACCAGTACAGAACCAGAACAAAACCAGAACAACCAGTACAGAACCAGTACTGGGACCAGCAACCCCATCTGGGCTGGGACTGAGGGGTTTGTGCACACCAGGAAGGGTTTGTGACCCTCCCTCCCCCTGACAAAGCCAAGGTTTACTGGAATTTTGGGAGACAAAATAATCAGGGATTTGTTTTTTACTGTGCTCAGAGGGGGAATGTGCTGAGGGGCTGCTCCAGGACATCCCAACTGCCCTGCAGTGACCACAAAATCCCACAAAAAAAGGGGAATTGTGGCTCTGGAATTGCTCCAGGAGCAATTGGAGCAGGCAGCAGCTGACTCGCTCCACACCTTCCCCAGCACACCAGGCTGGAGCTGCACCCTCACAGAAAATCTCCTTCCCACCCAAAACCTTCCAGTAAACTCAACAAATGCAGCTTTGCCCAACAGCGGTTCCAGTTTAAGCAAATAGCTCCTAAAAAACCCCACTGTCAGTGTCTAGAGAAGCTGTTAGGGTACAAAAATCTCTCAATACATTATTTTACTAAAAGCTTTTTAACCAAGCTTAAAAACAATTCTTTTAAAACCAAAAGACAATCCAAGGAGACCTGGAAAGAGGTGCTGGGTAAGACAACCTTTAAAAATCACTGAACACTGCCCAGTGTTCTACAATTCCCATTCTTCTAGCGGGTCACAAACCCAGGGTGATTCATTCCATGGAAAACAAGAATTACGGGGCCCCCTGTACTTGCCAAAAAAAGAAGATTTAAGTCCTTGTGCCTCTTCCAGGGGTGAGAGCTGCAGATTCCCTGATGTGCTGTGCCAGGTGGAACAACCTTGGCTCTCCCGTGCTCCCAGCAGCTCCTCCCTGGCACCTTCCCAGTAAGGCAGCAGCTTTCCCAACCCCAGGCTGCTCCAAGGGAGGCTGCAGAGCTCAGCAGGGCAGGAAAGCCCTTCCTGCTGGGAATGTCACCCAGCCTCCGAAAGACTGAGGTGGATGCAGGGCTCTGAGAGAGCCAGGAGGGCAAACCCAGCTTGGAAAGTGGGTTAATGGACCAAACCAACAGAAAATCAACAGAAAACAGCTTAAAACTTCAGTCCAGAGAGCAGTGAACATCATCCAGGAGCTCTTGGCCCAGCCCAGGAGCAGCTCCCAGGGCATTGCCGTGTTCCAGAGGGAACAGGCTGGGCCCAGAGCCAGCCCCAGCCTCCCACCCCGCTGGGATCAGCAGATCCAGGGACCCCAGGGAGCAGATCCAGCCAGGAACACCCTGGCACACCCCGGGGCAGAGCCGCCAGCCCTGCCCTGCCCTGCCCGTGCCCATCTCCACTGCCAGCCCTGCCTTGATTAGAAACCCGTTAATTCCTCCCGTTAATCAGGCTTAATTAGGCTCCTCCTTCCCCGCGCAGGCTGGGTGGGTGTTCCCAAGGGTTTGTGAAGGAAGGCAGCAATCTCAGCCGTGCTAATCAAGAGCACCCCGGGCTCGCTGCCCGCATCGGGCAGGCAGGAGCGCTGAGCTCGGCTCCGGTGCAGCCCCGGCCCGCTCACACCGAGCTCTTGCCCCGCAGGTCCAGCTTGCTGCCGGCATCCGGCTCCTTGCTCAGCTGCTCCTCCGTGAAGGTGATGTAGGAGTACACCAGGCTCCCAGCAATACTGCAAGAGATTCGGGCAGCACGTGGGGAGCAGCTCCTGGAAGCTCACTCCCAGCTCCTGGAAGCTCCCAGCTCCTGGAAGCTCCCAGCTCTCAAACACCCCCCCAGGGAAAGGCAGAGCCGCGGCACCAGGATCTGCTCCAGCAGAATTCCCTGCTCTCCTCCCAAACCCAGCGGCTTTGCTTCATTCCAGAGCTGTTCCGCCCCCAAAGGACAGGAGAGACTCCCACAACACAGCCCAGAAAGGAGACTTTTCCAATGATAAGGATAAATAAGATGAATCCCCAAATAATAATAAGAATACTAAGAAATAATCCCCAAATTCTTGAAATTGAAATAATCCCCCCCAAATAATAATGAAAACGAAATAATCCCCAAAATTCTTCTTTTGCTGCCTTAATTCCATGACTCTGCTTGGTAACTCAGGGAATGCTTCATTTTCCTGCTAAAATACCCCTGTGGTTCTCCTGGCTTTAAAACAAACCAAGTTTGGGAACATCCCACAAAACCTAAGCACAAGGCACAAAACCCAAGCACAAGCACAAGAAGACCAAGTACAAAAACCCAAATCCATGGGGTTTTTTTGGGGGGGGAAATCCATTAAATCTGTCAAATCGTTTCAGTTTCACCCCAGTTTTCAGTTGCAAGTCATAAATGAACCTCTGCTCTTACCTGATATTTAGACCAATGAAGTTCATCCATGTAAAAATATAATCTCCTCCAAAAAACATCCCAATATAGGTTATTAAAATATTCTGCAAAGGAACAAGATGGGAGGAACAAACAGCCTGAGACACGGGAATTGTATGGAAAAGGGAATTTATGGAAAAGGGAATGCAGGGGGTGGAACATGAGGAGTTAATGCAATTCCCAAGGGATAAGTGAGGGGTTTTTTGGGGAGCAGGGAATGCCACTCACCTTGATGCAGCCAACTATTGTAGTTGTAAGAGCAGAGTTGTACTGAGTGCAAAGAACCGTGGAATACATCAAAATAAACCTGTGGAAAAGAGCCACCATCAGGGACAGCCCCTTGGGAACCACCTCATCCCCCCACCCTGGCCTGGGAAGGGGTCCCTGCCCTTCAGGGAATGAGGGGAGCCTAAGGTGGCTCCCAACCCAAAGCATTCCAGGATTCCAGGGCCCATTCCCATCCTTTTTCCCCCCTTTTTCAGCTAAACGTGCACTGGAGGAGGGTGGGAGATAACCCCCACCCACCAGAGCTCTCAGGCATGGTCTCCCTAGCAGGACCGAGGACTTGTGATGGTTTTTAACACCACCAGGGCACCAGAATCCCCATTTTCTGGGATGGAGGTGCCTCCCCTGCTCCCAGCCCAGTGCTTACCCCATGACACAGGAGAGCGTGAACTGCACGAGGAAGAAGGTGTCTGCCCAGCCCTGGTACTCCACTGCCTGCAGGAACAGCACCTTCAGAGCCCTGGCAATCACACCAGTCCCAGCAGGACAAGGAACAGCCCCCCAGCATCAGCTGTCACCTCACAGCAGGAAAAACCAACCCCACCCCAAGCCTGGAATGACATCCCCAAGCTGGGGATCCCCCCTGGCAGCACCTCCAGCCTCAGCACTCAGCTCATTCCTCCTGGCAAAGGCAGGGAATGAGTGTGACAAGCCAGAGGGCTCAGGAGAGGCATCTCCCAGCTGGCTGCTCTCCAGAACTGGATCATTTTGGCTTTCACTCCCTGCAAACCACAACTCTCATCCCAAGGGAGCTGTGACCTGGAGATGCTGCTGAGGGTGGTGTGAGGCAGCCTGGATTTCAGGGAAGGGTTTTCCCTGGGCTCCTGGGGTTTGGGGAGCACCTGGAGGGCTGGGTCCAGTGCCACAGAGAGTCCAGAGGGGCCAGCAAGGTCCTGCAGGGTCTGGAGCATCCCTGAGGACACTCAGGGCTCTCACCCAGGGGCCAGGCTCTGCCCAAGGTGCCCAGGGACAGGAACCCGGGCACACAGGGACACACAGGGACACACAGGGACACACAGGGACACACAGGGGGGTCCCTCTGGATGTCTGCAGCACTGGGAGAGGGGCAAAGCTTGCCCAGGGAAGTGGGGGAGCCTCCACCCTTGGAAAGAGCCAAAATCCAGGTGGAATCTCACCTGCCCCAGAGGGACCAGGCAGCCTCAGCCACAGGGCAAGAGCTGCTCCCTCACCCCCCCAAGGTGGGCAGGGAATGCCAGAGCAGCCAGGGCTCCTGCCAGGCACCTGGGAATGCCCTTCCCCAGGGACACCCAATTCCAGCCCTGGGGGCCCCTCCTGCAGCTCCTGCATCCCCTTTTCCCAGGAACCCTGCACAGAGCAGGATGTGTTACCTGGGCTGCCTCCAGAGCAACCACAGGAATTCCCAGAGCCAGAGGCACAGGAGAGGCCCCCAGCCCCCCCTCCCAGCCCTTCCCAGCCCTTCCCAGGGGGTTCCTGGAGCTGGAGTTTCCTGGCAGCAGCCCCGGCACACAGCACATCTTTGTGCAGCCCAGAAAGGAGTTTATTCAGGGGAAAAGCAAATTTAAAAAAAGCCATTTCTCTCTCTGGGCTGAACAGAGGCTGCTCACAGCCACGTTTTCCTGCCCAGGCCCAGCTCCTGCTCCTAAATGAGCACTTTTATCCCAAATCCAGCCCTGGGAGCTGCTCTGGAGGGCGGGGCTGAGCCACCTTCACCCCTCCTGCCATCCCTGCTAAGCCCAGCTCATTATCCCTGGGCTTTAAGCTCCTAACGAGGACAAAGCCACCAGGCTGGGGGACAGAGAAGGTGGCAGGGCCACCCCCAGGGTGGGCAACACCCCCAGCCTTTGGGGGAGAGAATTTATCTGAATTCTCTGCACATGGAGGAGATCTCCAAAAAAACAGGCAGGAAAAAGGAATTTGTTGCTCAGGAGAGCCAGCTGCACATCAATGAGTACAACAACAACACAAGCAAATAATAATAATAATAATAATAATAATAATAATAATAATAATAATAATAATAATAATAATAATAAATTTAATGTATACAGGACCACAGGTAAATAATTATAATCATAGTAATAATAAAGAATAATTTCATGTATATAGAACCATAGGTAAATTATTATTACTATCATTATTATTATTGCTATCATTATTGCTATTATTATTGCTATTATTAATACTATTATTATTTTATTTATTAGTATTTTTAATATTATTATCATCTCCAGGCACCACAAGCAAAGCAAACCCACACAGTAACTCCACAAAACTGCCCCAGCGAGAGGAGAAGGACAGGAAAAAAAAAGTTTGAAGAAACTCATTGATTCTAAAATTACTCAGCTTCTTTAAATAATATTTGTGTTTTCTCCTTGCTCTCCACTTCCCCATTCCTCAGGCATTACAAAAATGCCTGAATGGAGCAACTCTGTGGGTTTAAGTCCAACGTAGATGTTGTGGCTCCTTTCTGCTGGGGTGGTTTTGGGGCACCCCCTTCCCCAGCTCCCCCATATGACAGTGTTGCCACAGAGCCCAAGGACTTTGGGATGGATTTTGGGATGGATTTTGGGGTGGATTTTGGGGTGGCTGTCCTACCTTCTGTGCATCTCCAGTGATGTAGGCAATGGCCAGGGTGGGCAGGATCATGAACAGTGCATTGTAGTAGAGCAGACCATACTTCCCCAGCTCCTGGAAATGGGAAACACCCAGGGGCTGGAGTGGGAACAGAAACTCCTGCTCACACTGCCACTGGGCCTGGAGCTCAGTCCAGGTGGGATTCCTCCAGACAGAGGAGCTGGAGGGTGGGAATTCTCGTATCTCATGGAATTCCAGGCTGGTTTGGGTTGGGAGGGAGCTTGAAGCTCATCCAGTCCCATGGGCAGGGACCTTCCACCATCCCAGGCTGCTCCAGCCTGGCCTTGGGCACTGCCAGGGATGCAGGGGCAGCCACAGCTGCTCTGGGAATCCCAGCCCAGCCAGGAATTCCTTCCCAATATCCCAATATCTCAATCTATTTCAGCTTCCAGCCACTCCCTGTGTCCTGTCCCTCCATCCCTCGTCCCCAGCCCCTCTCCAGCTCTGGACAGATTTTGGGAATGGGGTAGCTGTGCCTCCCCCTCTGCCCTCACAGAAACCAAAATCCCAACATCCCAGAGGAAGCCAGAGCTCATCCCACCTTGGAATCCAGCTTCTGTTTCACGTAGGCACCGTTTGCAGCTGTTAAGGCGTCGTTGATGAGGATAAAAACGTATCCCTCCAGGTCGAATGCCAAGTCAGCACTGGGAGGGGGAAAATCAGGAATTAAAGCTCTGGCTGTGCAGGGACAGCGCCTGGAAGGTCCCTTCCACCTTCTGTGGAGCCAGCAAGTTGGCAGGAAAAGTTCATCATGGGAGGAGGGGTGGGATTTGGGTCAGGAAAACATTCCTTCCTACTAGAGAGCACATCTGGCAGGGGGAAAGTCAGTGTGGAATCCCTGTGTTCTTGGGACACTCCAGGGAACTCCACTGCAATGGATATGGGAATGGGGACAGCTCACCTGGCAGCCACAAATGCACCAAAGATCATGGCAAATACTGTCATCTGAATGCTCCAGGAAAACTTCTTCCTGGAAAACAGAGGTAGCAGGACACGGCATCAGCCACTGCTCAGTCCTTGGCAGCATCGGAGCAGGGAGCAGCTTTTCTTCCTGAGGAAAGGGGGAAAACCCCAAACCAAGCCCAACCCAACCAACCCCTGCAGGAGCAAAGACACTTTAGACAATTATCTCTGTGATTGTTTAGAAGATAAAGAACTGAGCCTGGAGGAGCTGCAGCTCTGCCTGGGGCAGGGCAGGAGGGGCTCAGCCGGGCACGGAGCAGCTCCAGCCAGAGCTTTGGGATCCAGAGGGCTTTGGGATCCCTGCAGGAGCTGGGGCTGGCACAGCACCCTGCACCTCCCAAAGGGGAGCCAGAGCAGCACATCCCTCTCTGCCAGCTCCCCCGGGATGGGATGGGATGGGATGGGATGGGATGGGATGGGATGGGATGGGATGGGATGGGATGGGATGGGATGGGATGGATCCGGCAGCTCCAAACCCGCCCCTTCCTCCCGGCCCCAAACCCGGCCCGGCAGCCCCGAACCTCCCAAGCCCAGCCCCAAACCCAGCCCCGGGGCTGGCAGCACTCACTTGAGCAGGAATCCCTCGGCAAACATCGTGAACAGGATGGAAAACCTCCGCAGCACCGTGAACATGGGCAGGCTGTGGGGAAGGGCAGCGCTGAGAGGCTGTGACCCCTTCCCCCAGCCCCAAACGGAGCAGGGGTATGGGATCAGAGCAGGGGTATGGGATCAGAGCAGGGGTATGGGATTGGAGAAAGGATATGGGATCAGAATAGGGGTATGGGATCGGAGCAGGGATATGGGATCAGAACAGGGGTATGAGATTGGAGAAAGGATATGGGATCAGAGCAGGGGTATGGGATCAGAATAGGGGTATGGGATTGGAGAAAGGATATGGGATCGGAGCAGGGATACAGGATGGGAGCAGGGATATGGGATTGGAGAAGGGCTATGGGATCAGAATAGGGGTATGGGATCGGAGCAGGGATATGGGATTGGAGCAGGGCCATGGGATCAGAATAGGGACATGGGATGGGAGCAGGGATATGGGAGCAGAATAGGGATATGGGATGGGAGCAGGGATATGGGATTGGCCCGCCCCTGCCCTTGGGAGGGAATTCCCTTATGGGAATGGCACTGCTCCCACACCCCCTAGAACGGAGCCTGCGGGGATGGGGGACCCCAGGGACACCCCCAGACCTCACCCCGTGGTTAAGGGCCAGCCCCGTGTCCCTCCCTGCCTGCGGGGAGCATTTGGGAACACGCACGTGGCACATCCCGGCGTGGGCAGGGAAGGAAGGGAGGAAGGGAAGAGCAGGGCCCCGAGCGGCTCCTCCTGCCCCATCGCCCACAGCCCCGGGGCCCGCAGGGCTCCCTGGCAACCCTGGAAAGCCCCGAGGAACGGCCAAACCCTCCCCGGGCAGGAAACCCATCCCTACTTCAGTTTCTTTGTGCTGAACAGTCCTGTGATCTGGTTCCCGAAGTACAGGAGAGGTAGAGGAAATGTCTGGAAAGGAGAGGGAAAAAAGGCTGTGGGAGCGAGCCGGGAGCTCCCCGAGCAGCCTCGGGAGATAAAAATAGAATGGAATTATTCCCACCCGCCATGGAAACCTTCACACTCACACTCACACAAACACTCAAACACACACACACGTGTCCCAGAGCTCCAGGATCCCCGGAACGGGCACGGGCATCCCAAAGAGCCCCTGCTGGGACAGGGACCCCGGGGCTGGGGAAAGGAGCCCGGGGAGGGGATTTGGGTGCTTGGGAAGGGGATTGGGGTGCTGGGGAGGGGTCTCACCCGCCGGGGGATGTGTCTGTCCAGGTCAGGGAACTTGACCACCCGCAGCGCCTTCCCCGCCCAGAGCACGGCCACCGTGGCCACCATCTGCAAGAGAGCAGGGGTCACCCGCGGCCCCCAAAGCCCCAACACGGCGTGCGGGGACACCGCGGGGTCCCACTCACCTGGCCCAGCCCCACGCACAGCGAGGACGGGAACCTGCGGGAGGAGAGCACGGATCAGGGGGGTCCCGCACATGGCCCCACGGCCATGGGGACACCGCATGGGGACACCGCATGGGGACAGCCGGGGTCGGGGCGCGGACAGGACGGGGTGGGGGGCGGACAGGACGGGGTGGGGGGCGGCAGCCCCAAAGCGGGGAAGGGGGGTAAGGGCTGGGAAGGACCCGGGGCAGGGGGGGGTGACACAGGGGGGGACCCGAGCTCAGGGACCGGAGTGAATGGCGGGGTCCCGGTCCCCATCCCACGGGGGTGCCCACGCTGATCCGGGGGGGGTTATCCCGATCCCAGGGAGGTACCTCAATCCCAGGGTGGAGGGTCCCGATCCCGGGGGGATTCCCGATCCCAGGGTGGGGGGGGGGGGGGTCCCGATCCCGGGGTGGGGGTGGGGGGGGTCCCGATCCCGGGGCGCTATCCCGATCCCAGGGTGGGGGGTCCCGATCGGGGAGGGAATTCCCGATCCCGGGAAGGGGGGGGGGGGGGGTCCCGGCGGCGCGGCCGTACCCGTAGGAGGTGAGGACGCTCTTGTTGACGACGACGATGAGGAAGGAGCTGAGGCCGTAGAAGGCGGCGGCCAGCAGGCGCAGGCAGAGCGGCGGGGCCGCCATGCCCCGCTCCGCATCGCCGGGCGCGGGGGCTCCGGCGGGGGCTCCCCCCTCGGCCGCCCCCTCGGGCCCCCCCCCGGCCGCGGCCCCGGGGCGTCTGCGCGGCACCGACATGGCTGGGGCGGGGCGGGAGCGGCGGGAGCGCGCAGCCGCGGGGAGGGACCGGGACGGAGCGGGGAGGGAGCGGGGAGGGGCCTGGGACACGGGGGACGGGGGGGGAGATGGGACAGGGGGGACAGGGACGGGGACAGGGATGGGGAGATAGGGATGGGGAGATGGCACGGGGACAGGGATGGGGACGGGGATGGGGATAGGGATGGTGAGATAGGGATGGGGAGATGGCGCAGGGATGGGGACAGGGATGGGGACGGGGATGGGGATAGGGATATAGGGATGGGGAGATAGGGATGAGGACATGGCACAGGGATGGGGACAGGGATGGGGAGATAGGGATAGGGATAAGGATGGGGACAGGGATGGGGAGGTGGGGACAGGGATAGGGATGGGGACATGGCACAGGGATGGGGATAGGGATAGGGACAGGGATGGGGAGATAGGGATAGGGATGGGGACAGGGTTGGGGAGATAGGGATAGGGATGGGGACATGGCACAGGCATGGGCACAGGGATAGGGACAGGGATGGGGAGATGGGGACAGGGATAGGGATGGGGACATGGCACAGGGATGGGGACATGGCACAAGGGGGGACAGGGATGAGGACAGCACACGGGGGGGGACAGGGATGGGGGACATGGCACAGGGGACAGGGGTGCGGATAGGGATGGAGACATGGTATAGGGAATGGGACAGGGATGGGGACACGGCCTGGTGGGAAGACAGGGATGGGGACAGGGATGGGGACATGGCACGGGCGACAGGGATAGGAACATGGTACGGGGGGGGACAGCGATGGGGACATCGCACAGGGATTGGGGGACAGGGGTGGGGAACATCACACAGGGGCATGGGGCACATCGCACAGGGGGCAGGGATGGGGAACAGCGATGGGGTGGGATGGTGGCACAGGGGCAGGGATGGGGGCATCGATGGGGGGGGGGGATGTGATGGGGGCTGGGATAGAACGGAGGGGTTGGGGCAGGGGGATTCTGCCAGGGGAAGGCACGGCACGGGAAATGCCTGGGGACACTGCGGGGAGGGGTGGGCAGGGCTCGGGGGCTGGTGCGGGGGCACTGATGGGGTGGGACGGGGCTGGTTTGGGGGCATTGATGGGGTGGGACGGGGCCGGTTTGGGGGCATTGATGGGGTGGGATGGGGCTGGTGCGGGGGCATTGATGGGGTGGGATGGGGCTGGTTTGGGGGCATTGATGGGGTGGGACTGGGCTGGTTTGGGAGCATTGATGGGGAGGGACGGGGTTTGGTTTGGGGGCATTGATGGGGTGGGACAGGGCTGGTTTGGGGACATTGATGGGGTGGGACGGGGTTTGGTTTGGGGGCATTGATGGGGGGTGGGACAGGGCTGGTTTGGGGCCATTGATGGGGTGGGATGGGGCTGGTGCAGGGGCATTGATGGGGTGGGACGGGGTTTGGTGCGGGGGCATTGATGGGGTGGGACGGGGTTTGGTTTGGGGCATTGATGGGGTGGGATGGGGCTGGTGCAGGGGCATTGATGGGGTGGGACGGGGTTTGGTGCGGGGGCATTGATGGGGTGGGACGGGGTTTGGTGCAGGGACATTGATGGGGTGGGACGGGGTTTGGTGCAGGGACATTGAAGGGGTGGGATGGGGCTGGTTTGGGGGCATTGATGGGGTGGGATGGGGCTGGTTTGGGGGCATTGATGGGGAGGGACGGGGCTGGTTTGGGGGCATTGATGGGGTGGGACTGGGCTGGTTTGGGAGCATTGATGGGGTGGGACTGGGCTGGTTTGGGAGCATTGATGGGGTGGGACGGGGTTTGGTGCGGGGGCGCAGCAAGGGGGGCATCGCCCGGGGGTTTGGGGCGGGCAGCATCGGTGAGGGGAACCCCCCGGGCCTGGCGTGGGGGGCATGAGCAGGAGGAGGGGGAGTGGGTGAGGTCACACACGGGGTGGCACTGCCGGGGACACTGCAGGGACAAGGGGACACCAAACGCGGGCAGGGGACAGGGCAGAGCCGCGGGTCAGAGCTGGGCTGGCACCGCTGTCCCTGGCACGGCGGCCCCGGGGCCCTGCTCCCTGCCGGCTGCTGCCCTGGGCTGACCCCGCACGCAGGATTTTGGCAGCGGCCCTTCCCTTTCAGAGATTAAATCTTCCCCTCCGGGCTATGCTCTGCCAAGTGGAAAAATCCCAAAACAAGGCGGCTTGGAGCACGAAAACGCCCCCGCCCTGCGGGACGCAGAGAGCAGATTGAGGGCTGGGGGACAGGGGTGACACGCACGCCTCGGTGACACCGCGGGAACCCCAGCCCGACCCCTCCTGGGCACAGCTCCGTCCCCACAGCGTCCCGGAGCCCCCGGGGGGACAGGACACGGGCGGAGGGACAAAGCTGCAGCCTCGGGAGAGCTGCTCCGGTGGCGTGGGGGGAATGGGGCGGGCACGGGGATGAGGGGTCAGCTCAGCCTGGAAATGGCAGCAATTCCATCAAACCTTGGATCGTTCAGTATGGAAAAGCCCTCAAAGCCCATCCAGCCCAACCGTTCCAGCACTGCTAAGGCCGCCCCTATCCCATGTGGCTTTTAAACCCCTCCAGGGCTGGTTTGGGATGAGGAGGGAAGGCAGCAGCGGGACATTCACTGCCCGTGGCCAGGGCGGTGTTTACAGCCCCTTTTGGGAAGGGTTATTCCCCATTTTCCCGCTGCCAGGACCTGCCTGGGCACAGCCAGGGCCTGCAGGCTCGGCAGGGAAGCGGGGCACGGTGGCCCCGGGGCACGGCTCTGCTCGCCCCGGCACGCTGGGCTGGCCTGGCGCTCTCCCCCGGCGGGGAAAAGCCAACCCTGCCCCAGCTTTGCTTTCCCCGGCAAGGAGCAGGGGCTGTTCCCTGGCACGGCTCACAGGAAGGACAAACGGACTTTAAAGTCCGGGAGCAACCTCCTCATATCTCGGGTGCCCTTTTACCCCAGCCAAAAATCACAGCTTTGACATTGGCATCACCTTCCTTGTTCCTGCAGCGAGCCCGGGGCTTGGACCTGGAAAGGGAACAGCGACTGCTCCAGCGCGGAGAGGAACCCGATCCTGCCCGGAGCGCTGTGCCAGCAGCGCCCATTCCTGTCCCTCTGGCGTGTCCCTGTCCCCGGAACCCCCACCGGAGGGACAGGGGAGCCCCCGAGGGGACAGGGGAGCCCCCGAGGGGACAGTGTCCTCAGCGCCGGCTGAGCTGCCACCGCGGCAGCTTTAAGATCAAATATCCGAGTGTCGCCTCTCAGCTGCCAGCAGGGCGAGAAGGGTCCGAGCCTGTGCCCCACCTGTGTCCCCCGGCCCGGGGGTGACACAAGGGCTCCGCTCTGGGCAGCAGAGCCGCGTCCGTCCCGACCTTTCCTTGCTCTGCCCGAGCGCACCAAGGATGACAAATGTTCCATCGATCCATTAATGATGTTTGCATCTCCCTGCCGACCCCGCGGGGGCTGCGGGCCAGGGCAGGGGGTGGTGGCAGCAGCGGTGACAGTGGCAGTGGCAGTGGCAGTGGCTGTGCCGGGCTGATGCCATCGGCGGCGCGGGGAAAGCCCAGCACAGCCCCGGGGAGCGGGGCCGGGGTTCCGGGAGCGGCGCCCCCAAAACCTGGGGGCTGCTGGGGGGCTGAGCCCGGCCCCGGGCCAGGCTGGGATCCCAAAGCAGCGTCCCAAGGCACCAAAACACCATCCCAAGGCACCGTACCAAGGCACCAAGGCACCGTCCCAAGGCACCGTCCCAAGGCACTGTCCCAAAGCACCGTCCCGGCTGTGCTGGAGGGGCTGTGGGGCCATGCCAGCCTCGGGAGGGACCCTCTACAGGGCACCTGAATGCTGAAAGGTGCATTTCATTTCCACCTCTGGACAGAGGATCACACACTCCTGGAATGGTTTGGGGAGCACAAACCTCACCTTGTTCCCCTTTGTCCCAGGTTGCTCCAGCCTGGCCCTGGACGCTGCAGGATCCAGGGGCAGCCACAGCTGCTCTGGGCCTCCCCAGCCTCACAGGGAGGAGTTTCTCCCTAAACCCAGCCTGACCCTGCCTCAGTTTCCATCAGGCCCTGAGGAACACCCGAGCAAAGCACAGAGAGCCCCCGACACGAGGGGGTTGGAAAGGGGGCGGTGGAGCTGCCTCAGGGGAAGGCGGCAGCAGCTGAGATTCCTGAGCAGGGGAAGGAGGAATCTGCGGGAAGAGCCGGCTGTGAGCACGGCCCCGCTGCCCGGGGAGCTCTGAGCTGCAGCCCCGGTGCTCAGGAGGAGATAAGGACGCAGTCGGTCTGAGGGCAGCGGGATGTGGGGCTGGGAAATGCAGGAACCCGCAGCTCTCACCTGTCCCGGGAGAGCTCCACATCCCCTCGCACTGTGCGGCTCCAGATGTGCTGCCCTGGCTCCAGATGTGCTTGTCCCCCCCCACACGAGGTGAGCTGGCTCCAGATGTGCGCGCTGGCCGGGCAGCCCCAGCTGTGTGCCCCGGGCATTGAGCACTCCAGGACATCCCAAAGGTGAAATTCCCACTAAAACAAAACAACTGAACCCCCCGGTCCTGTTCGGGGTGTGTGCAACGACCCAAACCCAGCCGCTCCTGCCGCCACACGGCACACATTACATACATTATATACATTATGTACATTATACACATTATCTACATTATATACATTATATACATTATACACATTATCTACATTATATGCATTACATAACCGCACCACCCAGCGAGGTGCCGGCTCTCCCTTCCACAAAAAGTCCCCCTGGATCAGGCAAAGCCCGGAGCAGCCGGGGCTCGCTGGCAGCGGGAGGCTCTGCCTTGCCCGAGGGGTGAATTCTGTTCCCCGACATTTCCTCCCCGAGGCAGAGGCGGGAGCAGTGCGGGGTTTCCTGTGGTTGCAGTGTCTAATGAGGTTAACGCTGTTTTTGAGGTTT